TTTCAGTGTCCAACCTGCTCACCACAAGTATGCCCTAAAGATGGTTACTGTCCTCCTAGTATTCATAATTTAAATATCTACTTTTAATTTCAGTGTCCAACCTGCTCACCACAAGTATGCCCTAAAGATGGTTACTGTCCTCCTGGTAGCTACAAACCAGTTACATGTGAATCAGCCCTCTTTACTATGGAAGGCAAGGTTAGTAATTTTCAATAACCTAGGGGGTATAATTAATTTATTCACTAGGGAGTAGAGTTATCCATTGAAAATATAGTGATTCGTTTAATTTTCATTGCTAGAAATTTTTGCAATTTCAGGATTTACTGACATTTGTGAAGACAACATTTCGCAAAAGTTACTGTGACATGATTCCACTAACTTGCAAAATTTACAAAACTTTGTCTCGTGAATTTGAAGTGTTTACAATAGTCACTTCCCTCAGATTTTCATTTTAATGTTGTTTTAGTGATTTTGGTTGATTTACAAATATTTGTAAACCAACTGGTCAGTGTACTCAAAACTCATCTTTAGTTGAATGCAAAACTATTGTTTTCTACTGTATACTGTTCAATTTTCACTGCTAGACATTGTCATTTTGAGAAAGTCAATGATACCCGGTACTGCACGTCGTAGGACAGCAGAATTTCAAAAAATGTTTGTCTCATGAAATTAAAGCTGTCTACGTATAAAACTTGTTTGGACAATTTTTTATTCTACGAAAATGAAGAATATTTTTATAAATAATCATTTTTATACATTCTGTTTCCAGCATTGTGAACCCACAGCTATGTTCTACATCATTGTTTGCATATCTTCCTTGGCTGTGGTGGTTGTTGGTGTGATTGGTGTCTATCAATATTGCAGGAAACGACAACAGTCTCACACAGTAGACACTGAAGAGATTACACCACTGATTGGAGAAAAAACAGAACCAGTGTATACAGGACTTTGATATGAACATCTTCTTTTCCAGTTTTGTGACATTTCAAATTCTTATACACAAATGGACTTTGGAAGGCAACATTGCTCAGAAAAAGTATTGTGCAAGCGAATTTAATGTCTACTCGTGAATTGTTTGTCAGTATTTGACAGGTGTACTGCTTTCAATATATTTTTTTTTAGAAAACTCTGATTACAATATTTTTTTTTGTACATCATAACTTTGAATTACAAGAAAGTCAGGGATAGAATGGTTACAATATTTACAAATTCTTATTTTTGTTTTAAATTACTGTAAACCATTTATTTTCACTATTTTAATGTTTTAAGCGAGTGCACAAATTTGGCAGAGAAACAACAATTGATATTCTACATGTCAACATGGATTTAATTTAGCTAATTTTACTTGTCAAACGAAAATAGCAAAATAAAAAACCAGCAAATAATTAACACGTTTACAGTATCAATTTAGTTAAGCGTTGAGCATCGGGGCGTATACAAATCAAGATTTCAGATTTGACATGCAATATATACCGGGGGGTAGAGCCTTTGCATGAGACTTCACCACGCATCTAGATTTGACACATCTGTAGTTATTTAAAGATATTTAGGACATCAGCTACATGTATGTTTTTTTCACCAATTTCATATTTTTGTTAAGAACCATACCAAATGATTAAACATGCGTGTTCATTTGGTATATATAAATTATTGAACAACATGAAAAAAAAATACAATGTAACACGGTAAAATTAAGGAATATGTAGGAATTAGATGCTAATACCCTCTGGTATTTGTGAATGTTTGTCAAGGGGACCCCCTAAAATCTTGCCCCCGTGTTTGTATTGGTCCCCATTCAGACGCAGTTCGAGTACCACTGATGATGTACACCACTTTATTTTAACAAATACCGTTCTAAAGTCATGTCTCCGAAATGCATTGATTAAACACAATCAAACTTTACAAGTACATCATGTAATTCATTTCATGTTCTGATTCAGTTTTGTTTACTATCTAACTAACAGACTTGTTCTAGGGAAATCGGCATTCTAGGATTTACTTGGTGTTTCTATATTTGTCCTAAAAATCTCAATATGGTAGATTATAAAACACTATAAAAATAATTTGAAGTCGTAACTTTATCACATGACAATGTAAACCTCTTTTCACTAGTAAATTCATGTAACAAAGCCGTCAAATGTAATTTGTTAATTAGTCCCCGTTCGGACGAAGTCCGAAAACAGGGACTTATAATTCGGTCTCCATCCATGTGTGTGTCCGTGCATCCGGAGTCATTATCTCAGAATCCCTTGGACCGATTCCATTTATTCCTTGCATGTGCCTAGTAGTTTATGTGGGACATATGCACATGCAGTGGTTTAGCGATTCGATTCAAAATGGCCGACTGGCAGCTATCTTGTTTTTTGAAAATGTTGTATTTTGGACATGCTTTTTCAGTTTTCATTCAAACTTGGTACATAGATTATACATGTAAGGATACATGTCCATGACGATTTATTTCGCAATTGGATCAAAGATGGTCGACTGGCAGGCATCTTTTTTTTTTTTTTTATGTGGTATCTTGGACATGCTCTGTCAGTTTTCATTCAAATTTGGCACATACATGTACTTTATACATGTTAGAATGCATGTCCATGACAATTTGTTTCAAAATCTGGTCAAGGATGGCCAATTGACAGCCATCTGACTTTTTGGCCTTACTATTACATTTCCACAATTTATGTACCATATTCATTCGTATTTGGCACATACATCATACATATCGGTGTGTTTCATAATCAGATCAAAGATGGCCGAATAACGGCCGTTTTTATTTTTGGCCATATTACTACTACATGGAACATGCGTTTTGATGTAAATAAACAATCTGTTGTATACGCCACTTGGAACTCAAGTTTCAAGGACACGCTCGCGACAACCCCTCCGCTTTAATATGACAAGCACAAAGAGAACTTTCAAAAATTTAATGGGGACTGTGTCATTTTCAATGACTTGTTCTAATGGTGGATTATAACAATGAATCCCACAGAGTTGTATTTGATTCAAAAAAGGGTCTAGATGTGATGCACATTCTCTTGGTATAGACTTCCCATCAAATATGGCACTGTGGGGGATTTTTAGGGTTGAAAGAGGCAATAGGTGTAACTATTTTTGGTGCGTGTATGTACCAAAATGTGAACACTGAAAACATAGAGTGAAAAATTGTGGCCACTGTGTTGCATCTAGGTCTCTAGAGGGCACCATATATTAAAATCCAGTTTTGTCAAGTGAACCACAAGGATTATGATACAAGATGACACCTTACCGGGGTCCCTGGTTTATCGGTCCTTTCCCATGATAGTGTGCCATAATTTTCTACCTTCAATGATTTCCACTCTACCTTTAGATTTCACATCAGCCTTGTGTTGGGTCACTTTTCCCATGCAAGTGAGTCTAAAACAATATTTTGCAAGATTTCCTCATTCTGATGGTTATATTTAAACAAAAAAAATGTTTACAATCACAAATAATACATCTTGTACCACAATTAGTGGTGTACTATTTATCCTCCACAGAAAACATTTGATGAAAGCAGTTACGGATGCCAGTATTTATGTACAATTATTATATTTCTTTTTTAGTTACATTAAAGAAAAGCTCCAAACAAAAAATCATTGATATTGAAAAAATGTATAACATGTAGTTATGACAACCGCAAGCATGATATAATGGTTCTGTAGTTATTCACCTTAACTAACCCACTAGAATGTTTTGAAGGGCAAAAATGGACTCCCATCTGTAAAACGTCATTGAATCTCAAAATAAATTGGAATGCAAATGCAACCGTTAAAGCTGTATTATCCGATATATTTGTTTTATTTTACGTATGAAGTACAGTCGCGGTTTTTGCTTGGATCCCGACACCCGCGACTTAGCGAGGGGCCACTGTATTACCGATTTACATCAGACACTAGAATAGAATTTACCCAATCCGTAAAATACTGTATGGACATATTCTGCTTTCCTTATTTGGAAAATATGCATCATGTTTATTTAATAGACACAGAAGTGCTACAAGCACCATTGCCAAAAGCAAACACTCGCACAGCATGCGACATTTCTCGTTGAGATTTCAGGTTGTTAAATTATTAATGGAAGGAAAAAGATGTATACTGCAAAGTGTGCACTCCGGCAGTAAAGTATTACTACGTGTGAATCGATACGATTACCCTACTGCCATTGTGTATACTTTGCGGTATTCTTGTGATAACCTCGTAGTA